TAGCCACACCCTTATGGCCAAAACGCTCACCTCCACCAATTCTGTGGATATAGTTTTCCCTGTTGGTAGGAAGGTCATAGTTGATGACTAAAGAAACTTGCTGTACATCAATGCCTCTGGCCAGTAAGTCAGTGGTAGTGAATACTCTGCTAGAGCCAGATCAGAACTCCTCATGATCACATCTCTTTCCTTTTGGTCCATGTTTCTATGCATGGCAGAGACAGTAAAATCTCAGGCATGCATCTTCTCAGTGAGCCAATCAACCTTCCTTCGGGTGTTGATGAAGATCACTGCCTAGGTAATGGTCAGGGTTTCATACAAGTCACACAGTGTGTGCAGCTTCCCCTTCTCTCATTCAACATTGATGTAGAACTGGCAGATACTCTCCAGGGTCAACTCTTCCTTCTTGACAAGAATTCGAATGGGGTCCCTCATGAACTTCTTGGTCACCTCAAGCACATCGGAAGGCATTGTTGCTGACAACAAAACCACCTGGGTATTGCTGTTGAGCTTCTGGAATATGTCGTAGATCTGGTCCTTGAATCAACGGCTTAACATTTCATCAGCTTCAATTAATACAAACATCTTAATGCATTTGGGAGACTGATATCTCCGGTTGAACATATCAAACACGCAGCCAGGGGTACCCACAATGATATGGGTAGTTTCCATCTGCAACTTTTGCACCTCAGCACGTACATTGGTGTCCCCAGTGCATGCATGACAGGAGGTACCCATGTAATCTCCTAGTGCTATGAACACCTTTTGTATCTGCTGAGCCAATTCTCGAGTGGGTGCCAGTACCAAGGCTTGGGTGGCCTTTAGATCTAATTCAGTCTGCTGGAGAATTGATATGGCAAATGTAGCTGTTTTCCCAGTCCCAGATTGGGCCTTAGCAATCACATCATAATCCTTGATACAAGGAAGAATGGCTCGCTGCTGGATGGCAGAGGACTTCTCAAAACCATAGGCGTAGATGCCACCAAGGAGGTACTCGCAGAGATTCATGTCATCAAAGCTATCAACAATCTCATTCCAGTTACTCTCGATGACACCTTCAGGCTCCATTCCATCAGGGCCATTGTCTCTGGATCGGGAATCCTGACTCGCAGATATTATCCTTAGAAACTAGCTTTTTTTTTGGATTGCTTGTGCGTTAGGTGTCATATTTAAGAAACTATTGCCTAATCCAAGGTCACAAAGATTTACACCTTTTCATTTTGAGTTAATTTTTGTGTGTGGCATAAGGAAAAGTTCTGATTTTATTCTTTTTTTTTTTTGGTACCAGGAATTGAACTGACGGGTGCTTAACCACTGAGCCACATCCACAGCCCCTTTTTATATTTTATTTAGAGATGGTCTCGCTGAGTTGCTTTTAGGACTTTGATAAATTACTGAGACTGGCTTTGAACTTGGCATCTTCTTGCCGCAACCTCACGAGCTGCTGGAATTACTAACAGGCATGTACCACCATGTCCAATTCTGATTTCATTTTTTTACATATAGATATCTAGTTGTTCCAGCAGCATTTGGTGAGAATGGGTTTTTTCCCCCTCCACTGAATTGTCTTGACATCTTTTGTAGTATCAATTTGTCATTGTTTATTTTCAGAGTCTTCGATCAATTCCATTCATTTATTAGTACTATGCTCTCTTGATTACCGTAGCTTGTAGTATGTTTTGAAATCAGGAATTGTGAGTTTTCCAATTTGTTTTGGCTATTTGAGTTCCTTGCATTTCTGTATAAACTTTAGGATAAATTTGTCAATTTCTGCACAAAAGGCAAATGAGATTTTCATAGGGATTGCATTGAATCTATAATTTCTTTTCGTTTTTGGTACTAGGAATTGAACCCAGGGGTGCTTAACCACTGAGCCACATCCCCAGTCCTTTTTAATTTTTTTGAGACAGAGTCTGGCCAAGTTTCTTAGGGCCTTGCTAAATTGCTAAGGCTCGTCTCAAAGTTTTGATCCTTCTGCCTCAACCCTAGGAGTCTCTGACTGAGATTAAAGGCATGTGCCACTAACACTTGGCTTGAATCTAGTTTATCTTGATTATAATTGCCAACTGTTAACTTTTCTAATCCTTAAACATAGGAAATGTTTTCTTTAGGTTGTCTTTAATTTCTTTTATCAATGTTTTATATTAGCTGTATGTTTATATATGTATGTATATAATAGCATATATTTTATAGTAGTTCAATAGTTGTACAGTAGTTACACACTTCTACATTTTTTTTTGCACAGTACTGGGGATTGAACACAGAAGTGTTCAACTGTTCTACTGTCTCCAGCCCTTTTTATTTTTTATTTTGAGATAAGATCTTGCTAAGTTGCACAGGCTGGCCTTGAACTTGTGATTTTCCTGCCTTAGCTTCCCAAGTAACTAGGATTACAGGGATGTACCACTGTGCCTGGAAGTGATATGCTTTTTACCTTAAGATTTAGTGGCTGCCTTTAAATCATCTTGGGAAAAGCTCATGAGTGATCATGAAGGATATTTTTCTTCTTGAGTCCACCAATCTGCTTGTTTCCTGTGATGTTAAAGTATCTCTTAATTTTAGTACTCTTTACTTTCTGCCTTACCATCAGTATGCAACCGGTAAGTCTATTTAATGTGCTTCACTCTCCATCTTTCCAAGGTAATGTCTTTATAACTGTGTATCTGAGGTTCTGTAGAATCTTTGAGCTAAAGCATATATTTTCTCAGCTTGATTTTTCACAATGTATAATTTATGTTTAAAATTTTCACTAGTCATTCAGTCAAGAAATAGTTCTTGACTATTTCAGTAGTTCAGCACATAACACAAAACACTGTTTTATAGTCCACCTATTGCATCCTGTAATTCTTAGTATAACCATTTTAGGAAAAAAATTCCTAGAGTCTGAAGAATTTTTAGAGGCAAATCTAAACCAGGTTATCCAAGTAAATAGCTTCCTTCCTAATCCTTCCTTTTTCTACTTTCTTCCATTCTCCCCAGAATAGTCCCTAGAGGAAATAGAAACACACCACAAATATTTTTTTCATTCTACCTCACCAGTCTCATTTCTTATCAGTTTGACTAGACAATCTCTTCCTTAGGAAAGCATATTTAAGGTAAATTTATTCTCAGTATGAGTTTTCTTAGTACTAAGTTATCATTGATTTTTAGCAATCTGAACATCCTGTGACAATTAAAAAGCACACAACACAATTTATTAATCTCCTAATACCCTTGCTGTCCTGCGAACCCTTCTGAAAATGCCGTTTTATTGGCCAATCTGTGTTAGTGCTAAACTTTAGAACTATATTAGTAACTCAAGTTAGTTACTCCACTCATTCAAAAATAGGTCTGTAATCCCAGTGATTTGGGAGGCTGAGACAGGAGCATTGCATGTTCAAGGCCAGTCTGTGCAATTTATTTATTTTTTTTTTTTTTAAATATTTATTTATTTATTTTTCGGTGGACACAACATCTTTGTTTGTATGTGGTGCTGAGGATCGAACCCGGGCTGCATGCATGCCAGGCGAGTGCGCTACCACTTGAGCCACATCCCCAGCCCCAGCCTGTGCAATTTAAGTGAGACCTTGCCTCATAATAAAACATAAAGGGATGGGGATACAGCTCAAGGGTTAAATCCTCCTGGGTTCAATTCCCAAAAATTCCCCCAAAAGTTGCTTTGATAACCCCAAGTCATTTGGGGTCGGTTATTTATTTATTATATAATTATTTTTTTTAGTTGTAGATTGACTCAATGCCTTTGTTTTTACGTGGTGCTAGGATTGAACTCAGTGCCTCATACTTGCAAGGCAAGTGCTCTACCACTGAGTTACAACTGTAGCTCCCATTTGGGGTCTTTAAAACAATGGAATCACCATTATCTTTTTGCTTTTGAACCTTAAGTGCTTTGCTAAGCTTTCCAGGAGATGTAGCATAGAATACTCTAGCAAACAACGTATTCTAAATTCTTGAACAAAACTGCCCTAGGTATTTTTGCTGAGAACCGAAAAATTTAGAAGGAAACCTTAAGTGCCCACTTATTTTTCTGCCTCAAAGCATATAGCAGGGATTCCCTTCTTCTTTATTATTACTAAGAATTTCTTTTATTTGTTTTTCTCCCATAGACTATATGTTTTGAAAGATTGTCTACTGACAATCTGAAGTTAGTTAATAATTTACCATTTTTATTTATCATCCATAATTGGGCTGTCATACCTTTTGTGTTCTTTGAGCACAAGTTTGAAAATCCTTAAAGGAGTTGAAAACAGCATGAACTGTTTGGAAATGGACAAACCTAGATTAAAATCTGAGCTTTACCAATTAGCAATGGTGTAATGCTGGGCAATTTATTTATTAATACTTCCAATCTCGTCATCTTTAAAAATAAGGATAATGATTTGAACTTTGAAGGGTTGTAGGAAATTAATGAATGTAGATGCTTTGGGTATAATCCTGAGCACATGGTTTTAGCACCTATGAATAATTTTATCTATATTTTGTGGAGTCCATCCATTTAAATAATTGTGATTGTTTGCTTGTTACAGATTCCCCATACTCCAAATATAAAAAACCCTTTTAAGTGTGTTGGTGGTAATTTCTGTTGAATAGTTTCATTGTAAGTTGCAGCAGATGCTCTATGAAGTACCATGTGGAGAAGAATGTACAGAAGCTAAAAGGTGCATATGTTGGTAGTGACTGTTTCAGCATTCCTTATACATTTTATATTTTTTCCTCAATTCTCCTTTGTGGAAAGACTGATTTCATTTGTTAACATGCCTTCTTATGGTAGCACATTGACTACTTGCAGATCTCAGTGATAGGAAATAGATAAGTTCAGTTTCTGATGTAAAGATATATATACCTTAAGTTCATAATAGTATGCTATTATAAGAATTCAAATAATTGAAGTGTGATTTTATTCTAAAGTAGAAACAGAAATCGGAATGGAAGTAAAGTATGGGTGAAATACTAATTGTTTGAAATAATTGGTGTACAAATTTTTTTTTGTTGTTGCCTTGCAGTCCACAAGAATTGGAATGTCAGTTAATGCTATTCGCAAGCAGAGTACAGATGAAGAAGTTACATCTTTAGCAAAATCTCTCATCAAATCCTGGAAAAAGTTATTAGGTATAATTGATCTTTCCTTACATATATTTTTGATGTTCTGATTTGTTAAATGGTTGTCACATTTTTTTTTTCCCTCTATAAAATTAGATGTACTGAAACCAGTGCCTCATAATAAGGATAAGGGAAGGTTATATTAATCTCTGAAATTTTTGTTCTTTAGGCTAGTCATTTCAACTCTCTTGACTTGGAACACAACTAGATAAGCTCTTTAAGAAGAATTTTCTTGCAAGGGAAAGGCTCTACAAACTTTGTGAGGAAAGGGGAAAAAAAATTCTTTTTTTGGTTTGATGATACTAGGGATTGAACCCAGGGCCTTGTGTATATTGTGCAAGCGCTCTACCACTGACCTACACCCCAGCACTGAAAAAAAACTTTTTTTTTTTTTGGATACTAGGGATTGAATCTAGGGATACTGTATCATCCCTTTTTATTTTTTGTTTTGAAAAGGTCTCTCTAAGTTGCCATGGCTGGCCTTGATTCCCTTGAATTCCTCCTGCCTCAGTCTCCTGAGTCATTGGGATTATAGGCATGTACCACCATGCCCAGCCTGAAAAAATTTTTTAACTTACATAAAACTTGCAAGAATTATAAAAGAACTTATATTGATTTTTGATATTCACCATGTATCATGTCCTTATCATGTATCATGTCCTTATCATCATCATCATCTCTTTATCTTGCTTTCTTTTCTTATTCTTTATGAATCATTTGAGGGGAGATTGACATATCATGCTCTTTCCCTGTAAAACCTAAGTGATATTTCCTTAGAACAGGCTTATTTTCTCATATAACCATAATATAGGAAAGATAGGAAATTTAACATTGTTTTCTTTCTTTTTGTTTGTTTTCCGTATAATTTCTTTGCTCTTAGGTACTGGGGATTGAACCCAATGCCTCGGATATGCTGGGAAAGATATGTTCACTGAGATACATCCCCAGTCCTTTTAACATTGGTATAATATTTTAATCTGTGGTTCATGTTCTGGTTTTATCAGTTGTCTCAATCCGTGTCTTTTCTAGCTTTTTTTCCCACTTGTCCAGGACAGAATCCAGCCCATGAACAGTTATTTAGTTTCTTAATCTGAAGTTATTCTTATTCTTTTATTTTTTATGATATTGAAATTTTGAAGAACGTAAAGCACCTTCCTACCCCCTCTTTTTAATAGTACATTCCTCTTTAGGGGTTATGTGCTGTTTTCTAGTGATTAGATCAGGTTGTACATCCACAGTTGGAATATTGCTTACCAGTGTTATATCCTTCTCAAGGTATCACACTCAGTCAAGGTGTACGCTATAGAGTTGATTTTTTTTTTTTTCCTGTAAAGACATTCTGTGGGAGACATGTTAAGACCTTGAAATCATCTTGCATTTTATCAGATTGCTCTCCCCCAATTTAATGCTGCCCAAACCAGTCTTTATAGTGATGGCTATAAAAATGGAATGTTCTGACTCTTCTACTTCAATATTTATAAATCATCTTTACACTTAAGAAAGCACTTTCCTTTTACCTCCCAGTGATTTTGTTATTAGTGTAGACTCATAGTATAATCTATTATGGTTGAGATTTTTGGGGTATTAAATTGTCCCAGATTTGAAAAGTGATTACCCCTTCAAACTGGATCTTGGCTCCTTTTGGCAAGCCCTATCCAGTGCTTTGATAATATTTAAGCCTATAAAAATGTAAAAGCCTGTTAAGAAAAATGAGTGTAGTACATGATCCTGTATTAGATTTTAAAGGGAAGAAAACCATTCCCAAAGATGATTATTAGGACAACTGGCAGAACTTGCTAGTTGTTTTTTCTGATTATATGAAAGGTCTCTTTATTCTTAGGAAACACACTGAAGTAGTGGAATAAAAGTACATGATATCTACCACCTAATTTTATTTTATTTTTTTAATATCTTTATTTTATCTGTTTATTTTTTATGTGGTGCTGAGGATTGAACCCAGGGCCTCGCACAGGCTAGGCAAGTGCTGTACTCCTGAGGCACAACCCCAGCCCCCTGCTACCTAATTTTAAATAAAAGAAATGTTTATAAACACTGAGAATTTGTGTGTGTGTACATATTCTCATTTATGTCTATAAATAGAGGTAGGAAGGAGAAAGAAAATATGACAGAATGTTAGCAGTTGGAGAATCTCAGTAATACATACATGGAATTTCTTTGTATTGCTCTTATTACATTTGTGCAAATTTGAAATTGTTCCAGAATAAAATCTTTTTAAAAAAGATTTAAAAAGATTTTATCTGGTCTTTAAAGACAGGTGGGAACTCTAGATTCATGATTTGTTTAATTTTTTTTTCTGTATTTTCAAGTAATTAAGATTAGTCATAAAAAAAAAAAAGATTAGTCATAGAGGGCCGGGATTGTGGCTTAGCAGTAGAGTGCTTACCTAGAATGCATGAGGCACCCGGTTCAATCCCTGGCACCACATAAAAATAAACAAATAAAATGAAAGTATCATGTCCATCTACAACTAAAAAAAAAAAAAAAAAAGATTAGTCATAGAAAGTTCACTGAGAACTTTACACACACACATTTTTGCTCACAGAAAGAGGGTTTCTATATGTATTTTTAAATATTTTTTTTATAACTTTATTTTGTGTATTTATTTTTTTATGTGGTGCTGGAGGATTGAACACAGTGCCTCACCCATGTAGGCAAGTGCTCTACTACTGATCTACAGCCCCAGCCCAGATAGATATATTTTGTGGCAGATTAGACGTTGCAGTTTTGCTCATTTGGTTTTATATTTAAAGAAGATTTACTCTTATGTTTATTGGCATTCAGGTTCTTCTTTAAAAACATTATTTTGTGCTAGGTGTGTTGGTGCACACCTGTAATCCCAGCAGCCTGGGAGGTTGAGGCAGGAGTATCACAATTTTGAGGCCACCCTCAGAACTTAGTGAAGTCCTAAGCAATTTAGCAAGACCCTATCACAAGAATTAGGAAAAAAAATAAAAAAGGACTGGGGATGTGGTCCAATTGCTAAGTACCCTTTGGTTCAATCCCCAGTACCAAAAAAACACAGACAAACAAAAAACACCTTATTTTGTGAAAATTTGCTTTTCATTAAAATTTGAAGTTAGAGGAGAAAAAAGTCCTTGTCTATTTGTGACTATAACTATCAGTTAATATCTTATTGCATTTCTTATCTTTTTTTTTTTAAATTTATTTTTCAGTTTTCCGTGGACACACATCTTTATTTTATGTGGTGCTGAGAATCAAACCCAGCGCCCCGAGCATGCCAGGGGAGCGCCTTACCGCTTGAGCCACATCCCCAGACTGCATTTCTTATCTTTTTCCCCCCTGATGCACAGATTATGCTTCAACTGTTATGTTACTTACATTTCATGTATACCTGTTATCTTTTTTTTTTTTTTTTAGTTGTTGTTGAACACAATATCTTCATTTATTTATTTATTTTATGTGGTGCTGAGGATTGAACCCAGGGCCTCGTACATGCTAGGCAAGTGCTCTACTGCTGAGCCACAACCCCAGCCCATCTGTTACCTTTTTAATGAAAATATTTTGTTTTTCTATCATAACTGTTATTTTTATTGGTTTCAGAATAATCCAATGACTATATCTTGATTTTTATTAACCACTTGAATATTGTTAGGTTTGTTATTTTTAAGTTATGGCTGTTATAACTAATGTTTTTTTTTTTAATATTTTTAGTTGTAGATGGAAACAATACCTTTATTTTGCGTATTTGGTGTTTTTGTTTTTTTTTTTAATGTAGTGCTGGGGATCGAACCCAGTGCTTCACGTGTACTAGGCAGGCGCTCTCCCATTGAACCACAACCCCAGCCCAGACATAACTAATTTTTAATAAATAATTGTTCTGCCTAAAGCTTTTTCTTTAGATCCTTAGCTAGGTTTCTAGAAGATTTACTACTACTGTTAGTAAGTAGCACATTTTTTAATACTTAGGATATACTAACTGTTGACATGTATTACTACATTTAATCTTCAGTACAATCCAGTATGATGAAACCATTGCACTGATCACTTAGGTACCTTGCACACAGTTGGATCAGTGGTGAATACCTGACCTAGGATCTGACTTCATATAGTCTTGAGACCTTTCCTGGGGATGTGCTGTGTTGCCTATGGAATTGTTTTCATGCCTCTTACTTCTCTGCTTTCCAAAAGGAATTATATGAATTTACTATGCCAGGGTGGTGTGGGAGATCAATTTTAACTGCAGTTTTGGCAGCATTGGATCCTTGCTAGATCATATTTAATTGCTATATCACCTTTCCTTTTTAAGTAGTGTCTTTCCTATTACTTTTGGACTATTTCTTAGTCCATGCCATGTGTCATTATTAATCTTTGTTTTCTGCCTCACAGTACTGTACCATCTTTAGGTTTTGAAGCTTTCAAGGTGAATCATAGAGAATAACAGGGATCAATGAAATAAAGTATGTGAAAACTCAAGTGTATACTCATGTTATACCACAGGGCTTGAATTGTTATTTTAGTTTTGATAAAGCTGTGCTTTACAAGATAAATTGTACAATTGTGATACGGAAAGCTCTGTTACTGCTTTCTGTAATAGAGAAAGCTCTATTAGTGCTTCTCATCCAGCTGGCATATTAGAGTTGTCTGGGAAATTTTAAAAAATTATGATGCTTGTGCCTTACTGCCAGAGATTTGGACTTACTGGATATGGAATGGAGGTTGGCACGAGGGTATGTTTAAAAGTTCCCTAGGTGATCCTTATATCCAGTTGAATATATATTCTTTTTGTATTCTGTATAGAGACATGTGAAAATTGAAAGAATTTTTTGTGTATCTCTTAAGACTTTTATAGGGAGCAAAATATAGATAAGTGGGGCAATTTCTACAGTAGGCCTAAACATTTTCTAAACCTATCTTCAAGGCAGATTTGATTTAGATGTGAATGTTTGTCAGTACTAAAATATTTTATCAAATCAGCCTGTTCACAGTGTCTGATTGTTTTTACATCTGTAAGTCTTAAAGCTTGTGTATTTTATATTGCTTTACAGATCATTTAAGATTGAGGGGATGCTAGGTAGATCTTACTATTCCTGAGGTATTTTATATGAAAATGTTTTTATTACTGTCAAAGAAATATTTATATTTTAGGTACAGCCTTTCTTTTTTTTTCTTTTTTTTTATTGCGCAAAACATTACAATGATCTTGACATATCATACATTTGATTCAAATGGGGTATTTATTTTTTGACTTCATGAAAAATTATTAAAACGGTATTGTCACATGCTTTCATTTTGGCGGGGGGGTACTGGGGTTTGAATTCAGGGACACTTGACCACTGAGCCACATCCCCAGCCCTATTTTGTATTTTATTTAGAGGCAGGGTCTCACTGAGTTGTTCAGTGCCTTGCTTTTGCTGAGGCGGGGTTTGAACTCTGGTCTTCCTGCCTCAGGTTCCTGAGCCTCTGGGATTACAGGTGTGTGCCACCATGCCTGACACATGCTTTCATTTTTAAAATGACTATTTTTCCCATATTCTTTCCTTCTCTTTGTTCTGTATACTTTTCTCTTAAACTTTTAGGTTCCCCTTGGCATACGAATTTGTAATTCTTACTAAGTGAGTGCTAACTGAATATGGGTTCTGAAAAATACCCAAGTGTGTATGCTAATAGAATAGTTTCCATAAACTTCATTTACTGGTGGGTAACTTAGAATTTTTTTTCTTGTGTTAGTAGCCTGTTAACATGCAGTATTTCAGTTTTTATTTTTAACAGTTACTAACAACTAAGGGATTTCATACATTTTCAGATGGACCATCCACTGATAAAGACCCTGAAGAAAAGAAAAAAGAACCTGCGATTACATCACAGAATAGCCCTGAAGCAAGAGAAGAAAGGTATTTCACTTTATGGAAATTCATTTATGTTAAAGTCAGATAGTTTTATCAACTCTATCAATTTCTCCATGGTCTTCAGATCACAAATCTGCATTACTTTCTGTTTTCCATTCATATAAAACTAGTAAATGTATATAGCCAAGGTTTTCAGAAAGATTTCCTAGAAATTTAAAAGATAGGTAGTAGATTACATAAATAAAAACAAATTGTGTATTTACATAGATAAAAACATTGTGCTTAATAAGTTTTATGGAATAGGATTCCTGGGAGAGGCACTGATAGAATTGTTAATGACTGTAGTGCTTTGGGATTTAAATGGTTACTTCCTCTACTTACCAATTTCTTTTTTTTTTTTTTTTGAATTTATTTGTACCCTGGATCACTTTCATTTTTATGCTTTTTTTTTCTTCCAAATTTTGCCATTTATCATAGGAACTTAAAATATGAATTTCAGCCACAAGGGGTTTAAATTGTTCCTTGGCTTTTATAAGATCTTTGCATTTATTTTTTGCTGTTGCATACCACGAACTGTGCAGTATCCAACATGTTGCTTAATGTTGGTATAGGTAATAAATTACAAGTAGTTCTCCAATTTCTTGTGAAGCTTGTGGTTTAACTATTGATGTTGACTTAGAGAAGTGGTTCTCAAAGTGGTCCAAAGAAGATCAAGGACTGCCTGGCAACTTATTAGAAACTTAAATGTTCAGGCCTCATCCTGGAACTATCAGGAATTGTTTTTAACAAGCTCCTCCTTTAACTTCTGAGGCACCCAGGTTTAGAACTTCTGCTTCTAGCTTTTGGCTTCCAAATTTCTGTTTTGTCCCTGAACTTTTGATCCACCTAGATTGTTAGAGGTATTTAGGACATTAAGGCTACTTCTGTTTTAATTTTATTTCTTAGGGGTTCCTCAGAATTGATCATATAATTATTTTTTATTGAACAATTTTTTATTTTTTTGAGTTTTTGGGGATTGAACTCAGAGCTTTGTGTGTGCTGGGTAAGCACACCACTGAGCTACATTCTTCTTGCCCCCAGCCACTGCCTATTTTATTTTGTTTTTTAATTTGAGACAAGGTCTTGCTGAGTTGCCTAGGCTGACCTTGAACTTATGATCCTTCTGCCTCCGCCTCCCAAGCTGGGATTACAAGTGCACCACTCACTGTACCAGGCTGTGTTTCTTATTATTTTTACTTTTATTTTTTGGTACTGGGATTGAACTCAGGGGCACTCAACCACTGAACCACATACCCAGCCCTTTTTTTTTTCATATTTTATTTAGAGACAGGATCTCACTCAGTTGCTGAGGCTGGCTCCTCCTGCTTCAGCTTCCCAAGTTGTTGGGATTATAGGCATGTGCCATCATACCTGTCTTGTTCCTTATTTATTTTTTTAATTAACACTTATTAATATCACATACACTTGTTATTTTATGTTATAGTACTAAATATATTTGATGTTTAAAGAGGTAAGCCAAAAGTAGGGTTAAACAATGTTTGTTAATAAAATTTATGTAGTTTTTTTTCTTGTAACTTTTTATTTTGAGATAGTTTCAGACTTTTAAAAAATTGCTGGCTGGGGTTATATATCAGTGGTAGAGCACCTGCCTAGCACATGTGAAGTATTGGGTTTGATCCTCAGCACCACATAAAAATAAATAACTGAAGAAAGAAAGGAAAGAAGAAAGATTGTGTCTATTTACAACTAAAAATTTAAAAAATGATACAAATTTATTTTAAAAATTGAAAAATAATACAAAGAATTCTTTACCCAATTGCTTCTCTTATATTTATATATGTATATGCACATATACATGTGTGTGTGTGTGTATGTGTATATGAATGAATTTTATTTTGAACCAAATGAGTGCTTTGCAGACATTTTGCCCTTTTTACCCTTATATATGTCAATATGTTTTCTTACATATAACCACAGCACAGCTTTCAATATCAGGGAATTAACATTGATATATAAAATGCTATTTTGTAATCATAGACCTTATTCATGTTTCTGCAGTTACCTCAATAATTTCATTTATTGCAAAGGGAAAATATTTCTTCAAAAATACTGTCCAAGATCATATATTGAATTTAGTTGTCATTTCTCTTTGATGTCCTTTAATCTGTAATAGTTCTTCAGTCTGTTGTTGTCTTTCTTGACCTTGATATTTTTGAAAACTGGAGGCCCTAGCCTAATGAATTTTTAACATATTTTCAGCTGTGATATATTCAGGGTCCCTGGTTTTGTGTCTATAACATATATATATATATATAAACATTTTAAGTAGATGTTGAAAGCTGAGTCATTTCTTAGTATACATTTTTATCAGTTCTATGTCCTTGAAGTTTAGGTGTAGAACCTATCTGCAAACACACAGAATTATTGTGTATGAAGGCTGATACATGTTTACACATACTCAGAGAAATAAAAGAGGATTCAAGAAATTAGTATGAAGGGAGATGTAAGGTTAGATCTAAATGATTTGTAGTTGAGTGAAGTTTTACATTTTAAGTACAAGAAATCGAGAAAATTATGTGCTTAAATGGTTAGAAAGAGGTAACAGAATGTTATGCAGTGGTGCCAGCAATAGCAAAGTGAGAAATGGCTCCATCAGTTCACTTGAGTAGTTTCCATTGGCTGGGCTAGGCATTTGGCTATGGACAGAAGCAAAAGCATTTAATTGAAGTATTTAAGTAGTCTTTATTTATTTTGTGGTGCTGAGGATCAAACACAGGCCATACTCAGCCAGTCCTCTATCACTGAGCAACACCCAGCCCTAAGAAGGAGATTTTATTTTATTTTTTTGGTACTAGGGATTGAACTCAATGGCATTCAACCACCAAGCCAGCCCTATTTTATATTTTATTTAGAGGCAGGATCTCACTGAGTGGATTAGTGCCCTGCTTTTGCTGAGGTTGGCTTTGAACTCTTGATCTTCTTGTCTCAGCCTTCTGAGCTGCTGGGATTACAGGCGTGTGCCACCATGCCCAGTTTAAGAAGGAGATTTTTTAAAAAATTGACTTATTCATTTATTTACTGCTTACAGACACTGTGCTATATATTGAAGATACAAAGAAGATTAAATCATGGGCAGGGGATATAGCTCAGTTGGTAGAGTGCTTGCCTCACATGCACAAGGACCTGGGTTCAATCTCTAGCAGCATACCCCCCCCCCCCCCACACACACACATACACATACACACAAAAGGGGAACTCAGGCAGCAGGATACGCCCTATTCCCAGCAGGAATAATCTTAAACCTGGAACGCCCTAAACCCAATTATCCTAAACCGGGAACACCCTAATCCCGGATCCGCCCTGGTCCTTGAGCAAGGTCACATAACTGCAATGTCACTGCAAAATGTCCTATTTCCACGAGTCCTTCCACTAAGCAACATGGGGTACGCTGGCAAGGAAATTGTCATACCTATTTGGCTAATGGCTCCCAGCACACACACACACACACACACAAAAGATAAAATCCTAAGATTTTTTGCTCTTAAGAAACTTAGCCTGGTCTCAGTTTCTGTGGGTGAGGAACCAGACTTCACCAGGACTCTCACTCCAAGATGCAGTGCTACCTCCTATCATAATGATATAAGAAGTTAATATTTTCTTTGTATAAAGCCAACATAGCTAAGGTAAATGTTACTCCATTACTCAGTGAATTTAGGATAAACTATGTAAAAAACTCTAAACAAAATGTATTCATGAAAGTTTTTGGACAGTGGTGTCATTTTATTTTTCTGAAGAATATGGGGAGAGGGAGGAGGACTGAATTGTTGCCCCTGAAGAGAAGCAAATGTCCTTTTTCTACTTAGGCATATCATGTAAGTATCTTTCTAATGAAGTTTTTTTTTTGGTGGTGGTGCTGGGGATTGAACCCAGCCAGGGCCTTGTGCATGAGAGGCAAGCATTCTATTAACTGAGCTACATCCCCAGCCCCTTATGAAGTTCTATCATGACCTCTTGAAGTATTTATTATGTATCTTGAAAACATGTATCTATGTTTATAAATGGTGAGATAATCTTTCTGTCTTCACAATTCTGGTTTAATGCTTATTTAATAATAAAACTTTTTTTTCCTCAAAGAAAAAGAAACTTAGTGTGGTTAAAGGAAAATGTATGAAAAGTCATTGCAAACCTGTGTGTACACGGTTTTTTGCGAGTACAGAGAGATATAATAATAGGAAGCTTCAGGAAGAATTGACTAAAGTTAGAAGGTAGAGATTTATCATTTTGTACACTGTAACCTGTTCTCAACAGTGGTTGTGTTTTGGAGAGAAAACATGGAAGGTATATCCTTGCAGCAGGTTAGATCTATGAAGGGCAATGATTTAATCAGTCTTTGAAAAAGGTTTATGGCCAGGCCTGAAGGGGTAGTACCCCTGTAATCCCAGCAGCTTGGGAGGCTGAGGCAAAAGTATCAGAAGAGTTCAAAGCCAGCCTCAGCAACTACTTAGCAAGACCCTGTCTCTAAATAAAATATAAAAAAGGACTAAGGATGTGGCTCAGTGGTTTAGTGCCTCTGGGTTCAATTCCCCAGTACCAAAGGGAAAAAAAAGAAAAGAAAAAGGTTTATGTTAGATAACCTTATGTGTGATAAAACTGAATTGAAACTAGTCAGAAAAGTATTTTTAAAAGAACCTGTTTTTGTGAAAATCTAATATAACAAGTTAATCAGAGCAATTGAAATGATTAAGTTGACTAGAAAGTCATTAAACTGTCCTGGCTGTGCAGATGGAGTTTGTATTTATGGAGAGAAATTAAACAGACCTTTTTATAATCTCAAGATTTATTTCATCAGATTTTTGTCTCATTAGGAAACCATTGTCTAATTGGAGTAGAGGTTTTCAAACATTTTTTTTTTCCTCCCTGTAATTTTGGTAGCAAGCCTCCATACTTTTTTGGTCCCATCCCCTTGCCCTTCCCCTCAAACCATGATCCATCCTTCTCATATATTGCCGTGAGTTTTAATGTGTATTTTCTCTATTAAAATTTTATTCATTGTTTAAAAGGACAATCAAGGTAAAATGCTTGGTATTCTTTTTACAAAAAGACACAAGGGGCGGGGGCTGTGACTCAGTGTTAGTGCACTTGCCTGGCATCAGTTCAATTCTCAGCACTACATATAAACAAATAAAAGTAAAGGTCCATCAAAAACTAAAAAAAAAAAAAAAAATTAAAAAAAAGATATGAGACTTTTCTCCTTACTAAATTTAATCACTTAAGTTTTTAATGTGTATGCAGGCAACTTTTTTCCTTACACAAGTCACTAAAATATCATTTATTTAGGCTCTGAAGTTTTGTTTTCAGAGAGTGATAGTATTGTTACTTTAAGGTTTTTTAAAAATTTCTTTTTGGCATGTGTATTTTAGTAGTTCCAGTGGTAATGTAAGCAGCAGGAAGGATGAGACAAATGCTCGAGATACTTACGTTTCATCTTTTCCTCGGGCACCAAGCACTTCTGATTCTGTGCGGTTAAAATGTAGGGAGATGCTTGCTGCAGCTCTCCGAACAGGAGGTAAGTTTAGTGTATGTTATTTTACTTCCCATCCCTTTCATCACCACCACTAGTACTTTATCCACCTCCATATTGTTGTTTTGCAAGTACCATCCTGATTGTAGCTGCCCACCACTGCTTAGCTTAGGGAGGAGTTATTACTAATAGCAGTCCCTAAAGAGTGAGACTGGGACATCTGCTTATTACTATGTAATTCCAAAAAGTAGATTCATTCTAATATATGAATGTTTTTCATGATCGTAGTAGTTTTAAAACTTTTCCCCCTCAAATATTTTGTTACCTGCATTTAATATGCAAACTACTTACTCTGTCCTTAGATTGAGAGTTAACAATACTGAATTCTGAAATGTTAGTATGACATACATTGTATAAGTTTTGTATTCGTAATTCCATTTGCTGATTTTTTTAAGTGGAGAAGCAATCTTGATTTATGTATGAGAACTTAATTATATTTGAAGGTATTTAGTCTTAGCATGTAAAATTTTGACTTTAAGCCAGGCATGGTGGTGCATACCTATAATCCCAACAACTGGAGAGACTGAGGCAGGAGAGTCACAGTTCAGGGTCAGCCTGGGCAACCATAGCCAAGAACTTGTCTCAAAAAAATGAAAAGGGCTGGCTCACTGATAAAAAAGGAGAAAAGAAAAAGTTTCATATGCAGGAATGTTTGTCATTTTATACTTTTCCTTTTCTTTATGCTCAACCGTAGCTAATTGGACCTATTTCCTTTTTCTGCCTTTTCTAGTTTGAATTCCTTACTGTCTCTTTTTTTCTTCCTAGTTTGTATTTATTTCCTTTTATCCTTTTGAATATTTGTATAGGAGTCTGTTGAGTGTGTCCATATATGTGATTGGCTGATGAATGGTTTCTTTGCATTGAACCCCGAGTCTGAACTCTGAGTCACAGGAGACAGACAGTTCTTTATTTAACTTTCTGTACTCTCTGATGGAATAACCAGAATTCATGGAGTTGTGAAATGAGGAATTGCCTGCTCTATGAATTACTTCCCCATCCCTGAGGGAAAAGGAATCATCAATGCAGGAGCACTGTGGATATTAGGTGAATCTAAAAGGAGGAGTCTAGTGAGTAGTAAAAGACCAGATTCCAATTAAACTAAACTAAAAGGATTTTTATATGAGGCAAATGGGGTTGAAGAAATAAGAATGCAGTTCACTTTCTTGTACTGGAATTTTCTTTTAACATGTTGCAATAAATTAACAATTTTTTATGCCTGTTTTTAGATGACTACATTGCTATTGGAGCTGATGAGGAAGAACTAGGATCTCAGATTGAGGAAGATATCCTTTGTGTGTCTATTTGTAATTGTTTTAAGTAACCTATTAGGATAATTGTAATTTTTTCTTCTTGTATATAATTCTAAGGTTTATTCTTCAGTATTGTTTTGATGCGAAAGGAGAAGAAGGACTTTCATGTCAGTTTATTCCATTTTTTTTCTTGTCATTCAAAAACAAATCACATTAGTGTTGATGGCATTTTTATTTTTCTGCCTTGCAAATTGAGAATGTAGTTTGTAATTTCATTTGCGCAGAATGGCAGAGAAAAAAAACACACACACACACACACACTCCTCTACTATTATGTGTGAAGATTTCTCATTGAAGAACCTCAATAGAGCACACATAATTTCCTGAGCTCATTATCCTAGAGGGAAATATGTTCATGCTGGGCACCACGGAAAGGGCCTTGGGATACAGGTTGTTCATATGGGAGGGGAGTAGGAAATATGTAGGTAACAGTAGGACATGGAACTCTTTCTTGTTAAGGAAATATCCTTGTTAGGGAGGGAGTTCCTTCAGGGCTCAGCCTCTGCTTGTGGCTTGACCTTGATGGAGAGAAACCTGCTAAATTAGCTTCATGCTGAGCTGGGAAAGGAAATGAACCTCCAGGGCTACTGTGGTCTCTTTTCAGAAAGCCCCAAGGAACTGTGTGGACAAGGCCATTAGACTTAGGATTATTGGTGGAATACAGATTTGGGCAAGTTAGAGCTGGTGTCATCTCAAGCTAGTTTTTCAAAAATTTGTTCACTTGGATTGAATACCAGAGTTACTTGTTGATTTGCATGCTGCTTTGATTAAACAAGAAAAAAAAATTACTTGTCTATAGTGTAAAAGTATTGATAATTATTTGTCAATTATGGATGAATCAAGGAATCAGAAACAGTGCTCTTTTTTTAACTCATTAAATTGGAAACAGTTTTTGTGAACTCCTTAGAAATTTTTAGGATTCTTATTTTGGCAGAAAAGGAAAAAATTGTTTTATCTTTATAATTTAACCATTTTTCCTTAACAGCCAAGTACCTATATATCAAGAAATAAGGAATACAGACATGAAATACAAAAATAGAGTACGAAGTAGGATATCAAATCTCAAAGATGCAAAAAATCCAAATTTGAGGAAAAATGTACTCTGTGGGAATATTCCTCCCGACTTATTTGCTAGGATGACAGCAGAGGTGAGCATACCTATATATTAAGTTTCTATGATGTGATTACATAATGTCAAGTATATCATAAGGCTTTATATAAATATTACATATATAATTTCTATGAGCTATTCTGATAGATACATAAATACTAGGCAAATACTTAATGTTATTGACTTTGACATTAATGTTTTGCTCCTTCTGTACCATTAATGTTCTTTTGGTGCTATATTTAAATCATTATTTAAAATTAAAAATGTTATCCTTTTAATGACTCTAATTACAAATAGCCTTTTGTATCCTTTAAGCCTTTTTGCATGGTTAAACACCCAGAAATTGTTTATATCTTACTGATTTTTTTCTTAAATTTATATGGGAAATGATGGAAAAATTGAAATTCAAAGGGCTGCTATTTGTAGACAGTTATTCATTGACAATAACTATTGTGTGTCTACAATCTATTAGGCATCCAAGAGTGAATTTGTTTTTCTTGCATCGCTAATCAAAATTGCTATATTTTAAAAATTCCTTTTAAAATTTTTGTTAAAATATGTTAAAGCTTTACAAAGCAGAGAACATAGTGCAGTGAGATCTCATGAATCTATCACGGAAGCTTTCAGTATTTTTGAGAACTTATCACCCTTTTAATTTTTCACTGCCCGCCCCCCTTTTTCCATTGAATTTATTTTCAAGCACATCTCAGACATTATATCTTTTTTTAAACCTCTTTATATTTGGGAGATAGCTTTACAATATATATTTTTCTTACATAATGTCATCTCCACATCTAACAAACCTATTGGTATTATTAATATCTAGCTCATATTCATGTTCTATTCTTTTCCTGTCCCTTATATCCTTTCTAATGCTTTTTTTTAATTTCCCTTTACGATATTGCCCTTTCAAAGAAATCAGTTCTGTATCCCACATTGTGGATTTTTAAAAAATATTTATTTTTTAGTTGTAGTTGGACAAAATACCTTTCTTTTATTTATTCATTTTTATGTGGTGCTGAGGATCAAACCCAGTGCCTTGTGTGCTAGGCGAGTGCTCTACTGCTGAGCCACAACCCTAGCCCATCCCACATTATGGATTTTGTCTGTACAACTGTATCTGTTTCTCATGTAATTTTTTTTTTTTAATTTTTGATATTTATTTTTTAGTTATCGGCGGACACAACATCTTTGTTTGTATGTGGTGCTGAGGATCGAACCCAGGCCGCACGCATGCCAGGCGAGCGTGCTACCGCTTGAGCCACATCCCCAGCCCTCTCATGTAATTTGATTTTTTTTCTATCCCCCCTATTTTCTGTAATATTGGAAGCTAGTTCAATAGGCTTGATTATATTCAAGCTTCATTTTTTTTTCTGTATAAATACTTCTTCATAAGTGATGCTTTTTATTGTAGTTTCCTCACAGCAGGAGACACATAATGTATTGATCTCTTCTTAGGGTGTTAAGATTGGTCATTTGGGTTTGGATAATTAGAGTGATTTGTCCACTGTAAATCTCTCCATCGAACTTTCAGTTGATGAATTCATCCACTGATGATCCTTGCCTGAATTGGTTATTTCAATTAAATAACCACTGCAAATGAATGATTTAAATTATGTCATTCCTTTTACAATAATTAGCAAGGTTTCTTTGTTAAAGAAGCACTTTTCCTTATAAACTCAAACTGTTGGTTTGGGTAGGAAAGTCAGGATCGATGTGTAAGTCTTTTCCATTGGTTATCAGTTACCAGAATCAGGAGTTGGTGCCCTGGTTAATTGCCAATGATGGCTTTCTTTTTTTTTTGTACTGAGATTGAATTCAGGGGCACTCAACCACTGAGTCACATCCTCAGCCCTATTTTGTATTTTTTATTTTAGAAACAGGGTCTTACATAGTTGGTTGGTGCCTCACCAATGCTGAGGCTGGCTTTGAACTCATGATCCTCCTGCCTCAGCCTCCTGAGCCGCTGGGATTACAGGCATATGCCACTCTCCCCAGCTTGTTTTTGAATATATGTGTCCTCTCTTAAGTATTGTCATAGACTTGTGACTTTTTATTTATCCCGTGGGATTAGTTATTATTTTTTTTTTTTAAATTTTTTATTGTGGGTTGTTCAAAACATTACAAATTTCTTGACATATCATATTCTACACTTTGATTCAAGTGGGTTATGAACTCCCACCTTCACCCCATACACAGATTGCAGAATCACATCAGTTGCACATCCATTGATTTACATATTGCCATACTAGTGTCTGTTGTGCTCCGCTGCCTTTCCCATCCTCCACCCTCCCCCCTCCCCTCCTCTCCCCTCCCCTCCCCTCCTCTCTCTCTACCCCCTCCACTGTATAACCCTGAGGGTCTCCTTCCATTACCATGCAATTTCCCTTCTCTCTCCCTTTCCCTCCCACCTCTCATCCCTGTTAAATATTAATCTTCTTCTCCTGCTCTTCGTCCCTACTCTGATCTTAGATACTCTCCTTATATCAAAGAAGACATTTGGCATTTGTTTTTTAGGGATTGGCTAGCTTCACTTAGCATAATCTGCTCTAATGCCATCTATTTCCCTGTAAATTCTATGATTTTGTCATTTTTTAATGCAGAGTAATACTCCATTGTGTATAAATCCCACATTTTTTTTATCCATTCGACTATTGAAGGGCATCTAGGTTGGTTCCACAATCTTGCTGGTCTGGTATCGCTATACCGCCTGATTCACACTTCCTGCTTAGCATTGTTTTTGCTATTCTGGGTCTTTTATTTTTCCATATGAATTTCATGATTGCTTTCTCTATTTCTACAAGAAATGCCGTTGGGATTTTGATTGGCATTGCATTAAACCTATAGAGAACTTTTGGTAATATCGCCATTTTGATGATGTTAGTTCTGCCTATCCATGAACAGGGTATATTTTTCCATCTTCTAAGGTCTTCTTCTATTTCTCTCTTTAGGGTTCTGTAGTTTTCATTGTATAAGTCTTTCACCTCTTTTGTTAGGTTGATTCCCAAGTATTTTATTTTTTTTGAAGATATTGTGAATGGAGTGGTTGTCCTCATTTCCATTTCAGAGGATTTGTCGCTGATATACAGGAATGCCTTTGATTTATGCGTGTTGATTTTATATCCTGCCACTTTGCTGAATTCATTTATCAGCTCTAATAGTTTCTTTGTAGAGCTTTTTGGGTCTGCTAGGTATAGAATCATGTCATCTGCAAATAGTGATAATTTAAGTTCTTCTTTTCCTATTTTTATGCCTTTAATTTCTTTCGTCTGTCTAATTGCTCTGGCCAGTGTTTCGAGAACTATGTTGAAGAGAAGTGGAGAGAGAGGGCATCCCTGTCTTGTTCCAGATTTTAGAGGGAATGCCTTCAGTTTTTCTCCATTCAGAATGATGCTAGCCTGAGGCTTAGCATAGATTGCTTTTACAATATTGAGGTATGTTCCTGTTATCCCTAGTTTTTCTAGAGTTTTGAACATAAAGGGATGCTGTACTTTGTCGAATGCTTTTTCCGCATCTATCGAGATGATCATATGGTTCTTATTTTTAAGTCTATTGATGTGGTGAATAACATTTATTGATTTCCGTATATTGAACCAGCCTTGCATCCCAGGGATGAATCCTACTTGATCATGGTGTACAATTTTTTTGATATGTTTTTGTATCCGATTCGCCAGAATTTTGTTGAGGATTTTTGCATCTAGGTTCATTAGAGATATTGGTCTGTGGTTTTCTTTCTTTGAAGTGTCTTTGTCTGGTTTAGGTATCAGGGTGATGTTGGCCTCATAGAATGAATTTGGAAGTTCTCCCTCTTTTTCTATTTCCTGAAGTAGCTTGAAAAGTATTGGTATTAGTTCTTCTTTAAAGGTTTTGTAAAATTCTGCTGTATACCCATCCGGTCCTGGGCTTTTCTTAGTTGGTAGTCTTTTTATGGTTTCTTCTATTTCCTCAATTGATATTGGTCTGTTTAGGTTTTCTATATCCTCCTGACTCAATCTGGGCAGATCATATGACTTAAGAAATTTATCTATGCCTTCACTATCTTCTAATTTATTGGAGTATAAGGATTCAAAATAGTTTTTGATTATCTTCTGTATTTCTGAAGTGTCTGTTGTGATATTGCCTTTTTCATCCCGTATGCTAGTAATTTGAGTTCTCTCTCTTCTTCTCTTCGCTAGCATCGCTAAGGGTCTGTCGATTTTGTTTATTTTTTCAAAGAACCAACTTTTAGTTTTGTCAATTTTTTCAATTGTTTCTTTTGTTTCGATTTCATTAATTTCAGCTCTGATTTTAATTATTTCTTGCCTTCTACTTCTTTTGCTGTTGTTTTGCTCTTCTTTTTCTAGGATTTTGAGATGAAGTATGAGATCATTTATTTGTTGGTTTTTTCTTTTTTTAAGGAATGAACTCCACGCAATGAATTTTCCTCTTAGAACTGCTTTCAATGTGTCCCATAGATTCCGATATGTTGTGTCGGTGTTTTCATTTATCTCTAAGAATTTTTTAATTTCCTTCTTGATGTCTTCTATAACCCATTGATCATTCAGTAACCTATTGTTCATTCTCCAAGTGATGTATGCTTTTTCCTTCCTTCTTTTATCGTTGATTTTCAGTTTCATTCCATTATGATCAGATAAGATGCATGGTATTATCTCTACTCCTTTATATTGTCTAAGAGTTGCCCTGTGACATAATATATGATCTATTTTTGAGAAGGATCCATGTGCTGCTGAGAAAAAAGTGTAACTGCTTGATGTTGGGTGGTATACTCTATATATGTCAATTAGGTGTAGGTTATTAATTGTGTTATTGAGTTCTATAGTTTCCTTATTCAACTTTTGTTTGGAAGATCTGTCCAGTGGCGAGAGAGGTGTGTTGAAGTCTCCCATGATTATGGTGTGGTGGTCTATTAGACTCTTGAACTTGAGAAGAGTTTGTTTGACGAACATAGCTGCACCATTGTTTGGGGCATAAATATTTATGATTGTTATGTCTTGTTGGTGTATGGTTCCCTTAAGCAGTATGTCGTGTCCCTCTTTA